ATTTTTTTATATATGTGAGATTGTCTTTGTAATTTTTAAAGGCTTAAATATATTTGGTGAATTTTAGCAAGAATTTCTTTTTTACCTCTTAAAAAAGCTCATGTTGTAAATTTAAAAACATCCATGACAAGTTTAAAATAATCATAATCTCAGATTTAAAAGTTGAAAAAGAAGAAAGTCATTTGAAACTTACACTAGCTTGAAAAGCATTAGAGCTTTTCACTCATTTAAATTCTTGGGTTTTGCAGGTGATACCATGCTACATTATCTGGTCCTGGTCACAGGATGTATGTCTGTTGGAAAAATTCAAGAGTCTGAAGTTTTCCGAGTTACTTCCACCGAGTTTATATCACTTCGAACTGATTCATCAGATGAGGATCGCATTTCAGAAGTACGAAAAGTTTTGAATTCAGGAAACTTTTATTTTGCATGGTCTGCATCTGGAATCAGCTTAGATCTGAGTCTTAATGCACATCGTAGCATGCAAGAACACACAACTGATAATAGATTTTTCTGGTGAGTTTGGTTTTTCGGCCCCCCCCCCCTTGCACTTGTGTGTTGTGGAGTAGCTTGGTTATTATGAACATAACAGTTGCTGTTTACAGTGGTAATGAGAAATGTACATTGCTGGTGACCACAGTCCTCCTTTTTGCTTCAGGATCCTCAGCAGAGCACAGTACGCAGCCATTGCTGGTTTACGTGGAGTTGGCATGTGATACGAGACCTGTTTACTGTCCCTGATCTAACTGCCTTTTAATTTGAGAAATATCCTTAATGCATTTGTTTAAAAATTGGAAAGAAATTGATTGTGATTTTTCTATTTATCCTTCTTTGTCTTCAGTACTTGACTCAGGAATATCACCATTCTGGAACCCACAAACTCTTGCATTTTTCCCCCCCCTTCTTACGTTTTTAATTTTAAGGCTGTAGGTATGTGCTCTTGATTCAGAAGCAACAAACTATAAAGAAATTGTATACCGGGGCAAAGTCTTACTCTATACAATAAAATAAAACTTATTTAACTATACTGTATTCATGATGATACATAAATAGAATATTTGAGAGTGCAGATGGTACATGGAGCTTACCAGCATTACTTTGCTATAATCAGACCAGAACTGTAGTACCCTGGATCTGTTATCTGCAGCAGGCATCAATGTTGACCTTTCTCATAATACAAATGATACTTCTTTATTCTCAATATTTGTTTCAAGACCCAAGCCCTAGACTCCGTGTTCTTGGCTTCCCACAGTAACTCAGATTCAAGGTGTTCCCTTTTTGTATGTTTTCTTTCTTACATACTTTAAGCCATCTCATCAGGAGTAGCATATTCAGGTCTGTCGCATTTGCTCTGAGCATCAGAGTGTGCAAAGTCAGCATTATCTTTAGGATAGATAGCACATGCATGGACCATAGTTTGATGAATTTTTTTTTCCTTTTTAAAATTTTTATTAATTTCAATGAACATCTACAGAGATTTTGGATTTCAATTCATTCATTGTTGCACTTTTCTCCCTGCCCACCCCACCCCCACCCCCAGTTCACTCTTCTCCTTGAAAAGCAAAAGAAAAAACTCCTTCATTGGTATACAATCCCCCTGCACACCCCCACCCCCAGCCCCACCCCAAGTATATTCCACTCTGCAACCCTCATTCCAGACTCTTACGATAATCATAATGCCCTAAAATATATTACTTTTAAACTATTCTCTCCCTCATCGGCTTCAATGCAGTAAACATAATTTATCCAGTTTTTCTCAGTCTTACCCACATCCTGATGTCAGCCTCATTCTACAACAGTGGCACTATCATAGTTTGATGAATTTGTGGCTACTGTGAAATTGTCTTGGCCTAGAATAGAGATATGAGGAAGAAGATTAGGCAAAATAAAAGGTTGTAGGGCTTCTATGTCAGAGACTGCAAAGGAAGAGACAATGGGAGTGGGAGTTCCGGAGAGAATAGATTGACAAGATATGTGAGTGAATGTATAGTCCTGTGTGCTCAGCTGCTTGTGATGAGGTGATATGCTTTTATCTAACATTCAAAAATAAACTTCTAAGCATTAAATCCTTGTCAGCACTGTGTTCTGATGGAAACCATTGAAGTGTCATGAAACAGCTAAAGATACTGCAGCTGTCTCCTTTTTTGTTTCTTTCTTGTTCTTACCCCAGATTCCTTAGCTTGAGAGACAAAGGCTTTCCTGCCACACTTTAAAAGTCTGAGAAAATGAAGGTTCATTAGCTAAAAGATCAGCAATCAAGTATGTTTGTTAAAATCAGTAGAAATACACGTACTCATCATTTACTATCTTATTTCCAGACATCTTGCATATGCAACAAGAATGAAAACTGGGTATTCTGTACATTAACATTGAACATCTAGCAGTAACATGCCCAAGTGCATGGTGAGAGCTATGCTGGCTGATTCTCAGTGTTTGGTAGTTAGTAATGATATAGTCGCCCTCTAATTTGTAATCGGATGTGGTCCTCCTCCATTTTTTTTTAAATCTAACACTTCTTTTCAATGGCCTCATCTTTGAAATCTAACCATGTTATTAAGTGAGGAGTAGGCGTAATTCATCTCCTTTTTCCAATTAAGCATGAGAGTAGGGACAGATATATATAATAGATAACTGAAGGGGGATTTTTCCATTTAATCAAAAAGAAGGCTAAAGAACCAAAGGTAAATTTTTCTAAGAATGATAAATACCTGTCACAAAACCCTGGTAATTTTATAGCACTGGAACTTTCAGGGCTTCGGCCAGTTAAGAACTGTGTATACATTTAGATAAAATTAAAACAGTGACAGCAAAGAAAAAATAAAAACAGACCTGCCTGTAGAAAATATATAAGATGTGAGGTCTGTCTAGATGAGAATAAATTAAGTCTCTTAATGCCTACACTGTGACACATGGCTGAGCCAAAGTCAATTTGAGATTTCCCTTAGTTCAGTGCAGGAAATAATGAGAGGCTTAAGCCTTTATTAATTTTAAGATAAGTTGTTGTTGTTGTTATTGTGTGCTGTTGAGTCACTTGCAACTTGTGGCAACCCTATGTACAACAGTTCCAAACTCTGCTCTATTCTGAGCCACTCTGACTCTGACACATTCAACCCCATTTCCACAGTCACTGAATCAATCCATCTCACTGAGAGTCTTCCCCTCCTGCACTGTCCCTCCACCCTCCCAAGCATGATGTCCCTCCCCTATGACTGGTCAAGTACATTAACGTGATTTAGTCTTTCTCAGTAATAGTCTTACCATTCATTTACATTTCAGTTTGCTTTCTTTTTTTTTTTAAACTTATTTATTTATTTTTCATTTCAATGAACATCTACAGAGATTTTGGAATTCCATTCATTCATTGTTGTTTTCTTAAATGGAAAAAGTTAGTGCATAAATATATAAGACAACAATGAGGCACAGATACAAAAAAACACAAAACGGTTGTTTGTTGTCCATGGACCATAGATCACATACCTTAACATCGCAGTAAAATCAATATAAATGATTTGTTCATTTTTAATTTAATAATATCAATTTAATGTTTCAGGAACGTTGTTTTAAAACTTATACTTTGTTATAAGCTAATGCTGTTATTTTTTTTTCCTGTTAGGAATCAATCTTTGCACTTGCATCTTAAACATTATGGTGTTAATTGTGATGACTGGTTATTACGCCTGATGTGTGGTGGAGTAGAAATCAGAACTATTTATGCTGCTCACAAACAGGCAAAGGCTTGCCTCATTTCACGACTAAGCTGTGAACGAGCTGGGACCAGGTTTAATGTACGAGGAACAAACGATGATGGTCATGTCGCTAATTTTGTAGAAACAGAGCAGGTATGTAGTGCTTTCAACTGCTTAATTTATGCATTATATGACAGACTTAGAAAATACAGATGACCCTTGGTATCCCTGGGTTCGTATTTTTCAGGTTTCACGTCAGAGAGTCCTCAGCACAGGACTCTCTATACTTAATAATTTATAGCATATCTAAAACTTGATGGTAAGTATTATACCATCTAAAAATTAAAAATTTTAATTGTTTAAACTTTTTTGCTTATAAAATGTCTTCTATAATTTGACTAATGACTTCCTGATGAAATTTTACAAAAAAATAAAATACACTGGTTTATTTACAAAGTTCATATACATTGTTTTTCACACTGAATCTTTCCCATTTTCTTTACGTACCTATCCCTCCACCCATCAAATTGTGCAACCCGATGATTGCCCTCCAGCCACCACCCATCCCTCTGCTCCCTTCCCTACCCTTAGATCCTTCTACATGTTTTACTAGTTATCTTTCTATCTCTACAATAATGGTCTTCTACAGTATTTGTCCTTATGGGACTGCGTTAGTTCACTCAGCATAATGCTCTTCAGTCCTTCCCAAATTAGGTAATGATTTTCAAAATCATTACTCCTGCATGTTGCATAGTATTCCATCATGTGAATGAACCATAATCTCTCAATCCATTCGAGTATGGTTGGACATTTGGCTGTTTCCTATGAACATTGGTCTTCAAATCTCCGTTTGTGCCTCAGTTCTAATATTCTCAGGGTATGTTCCAATCAGTAGAATAGATGGGTCATATGGAATTTCTGTGTTCAACTTTTTTGTTTTATTTTTATTATTAATTTTAATGAAAGTTTACAGAGACTTTGGATTTCGATTCTTTCATTGTTGTTCTTTTCCCCCTGCTTATCCCTCCCCCCCATTCACTCTTCTCTTTGAAAAGTAAAAGAAAAATTCTTTCACTGTTATACAGTCCCTCAAGTCCACTCCACTATGCAGCCTTCATTCTGGACTCCTGTCATGACAAAAATACCTAATGATTTATCCCTTTTAAACAGTTCTGTCCCTCATCTATTTCAAAGCAGTATACATTATTTATCCCCTCTTTTCTCAGTCTCCCCCCAACCCCAGTGTCAGTCCTGCTTTACAACAGTGGCATTATGCAGCATTTGTCCCTCTGTGATAGAGATACTTCACTCACCATAATGTCCTCCAGTGTCACCCATTTTGTATATTTCATGAGTTCCTTGTTTTTCAATCTTCCATTTTGTAAATATACCACAGCTCTCTATTAGTTTGTTGATGGGCACTTGGGTTGTTTCCATCTCTTTGCTATTGTAAACAAAGCTGCAATAAACATGGGTGTGCATATATCTGCTTGGGTGGTGGTTATGGTTTCTTTAGGGTATATTCCCAGTAGTGGAAATGCTAGGTCAAATGGTGTTTCTGTTTACAACTTTTTGAGAAAATGCCATATGTTCAGCTTTTTAAGAAAATGCCAAACTGCCTTGCAGAGTGGTTGTACCATTTTACAGTCCCACCAACAGTGGTATGAGAGTTCCTATCTATCCACACCTTTATTACTTGCTGTCCTGTTAAACTTTGTGTCTGCTACTGGGGTGAGATAGTACCTCATTGCTTTTTATTTGAATCTCTCTTAATTGCCAGTGGTTTTGAGCATTTCTTCATGTGTCTGTTGGCCATGTGAATATCTTCCTCTGTGAAAGTCTTTTCATGTCTTTTGCCCATATTGTTACTGCATTATCAGTCTTTTTCTTGTAGAGGCCCTGTTGGATTCTGTTAACTTTTGATGAGACCCTTTTCTGAAAGGGCATTACCAAATTAAATAAACTTTATTTTTAGAGCACTTTTAGACTTACAGAAAAAATATGCAGGAAGTACATAGCATTCTCCCATTTTCCTTTTGTTTTTTGCACAATGTGTCTTATTAATATCTTGCATTTCTGTAGTATATAATTACAGTTGATGAACCGATACATTATTAACTGAAGCCAATAGTTTACAGTAGAGTTCACTGTTTATGTGATATAGCTCTAGGAACTTTTGACAAATGTGTAATACCACTTTACAGTATTGAATAGTTTCACTCCCCTAAAATATTTTAGGCATGTTGTCAGGTGGCTCCAGCATGATGTCCTTGGAAAAAGACATCATGCTAGGAAAAACAGAGTCAGTGCAAGAGGAAGACCATCAGCGAGATGGATTGAAACAGTGACTGCAGCATTGGGCTTGAGCATGGCAGAGATCACGAGGATGGCACAAGATAGGACAAGGTTTCAATCTGTTGTTCAGAGGGTCACTGTGAGTCATAGTTCACTTGATGGCATCCCAGCAACAACAGCAAAATTCCTTGTGTTCCACCTTGTCACTCCCCCCCATCTCCCAGACCCTTTGGCATCCACTGAACTTTTCACCAGTCTCAATTTGATCTTTTCAAGAATGTCCTATAGTTGGACTGTTACTATATATATGTTGTTGTTGTTGTTATGTGCCGTCGAGTCGCCTGCGACTCATAGCGACCCTATGTACAACAGCCCTAAACCCTGCTCTGTCC